CAAGCTACTCCCTGACTAGGCAGCCTCAGTGTTTGGTGTTAGTTAGCCTTTTCCCATAAACAAGTAATTTTGCAATTTTATGCATTCTAGAGCCACTTGAATTGCTGGAGCAGAGCAGCAGTTTCAGCTACTGGTAAAATTACAAGGTAGCTACTATCTAGAACATTTACAGCGACACAGAAAACTCAAGTTAAATGGCTTCACAATGATACCAATAAGTTTCAAGTTCACCATCATTTAAGGTTATACAAGTAAAAAAAGTACTGTCTTCTAAAGAAAGACTAATTCTGCTAAATGAAACCACTGGAGTCTATTGCATTTATTCAGAAGTACCATACAGCTAAACAAGCAGTCAAGTCCACAGGGAAATAGCATTTCAATGGCTTCAGCACAGTGCCAGACAAGGCTTTGTTGGCCTTCCTTTTCCAAGAAACAGAGATGTCTCTTTTTACTTAGTGCATCTGCCATAAGTGATAACCAGATGCCTTTGTGACAATTCAAAATTAAAACAAAAGTGCTCCTCCCCCTTCCAAACCTAACAGCGAGAGAGGAGTCCAACAGTCAGTGACCACAAAGAATTTCAATGCTTTAATAGAAAGCCTCCAAATGAAAGAAACAAAGCATTCAAGTGGTCTAATGGTTCACCTATACTGCACTACCAAGTACCACTGCTACTAGCACCACCATCCAACTATGCTGAGCGCTGTTCTCAGTGCTTCACTCTCAGAGACTGGCTCACGGCCGCGGCACGCAGCACGGCCACCATGCTGAATGAGCACGGGCAGGCTACATTCAGAGTCCATTCTCTTCAACTCTCTACTCACCTGAGTCCTAAGAAGGTATAACTAATCTTGATCAAAACCGTTCTGTCTCAGTGAAAATACTTGTAATTTATCAGGAGGAAGTTTAACAGCATTTAAAAAATTATTTAAAAAATTATTTCTTTTAAAGTTGTGAGTTAAAAAACGAAAGCAGGTCATGGACCAGTGTCTACAGTCAGATGTAAATGATGCTCAACACAAGGTCCTAATTTCATCCACGCATGTCCTGAGAAAACTCTGTCCTTTTAACACACAGTGTGACTTTCATGTTCTTGATGGACAAGTACTGCATGGCCCAAGTGGCCACGCAAACCTTTGTGCATTTTATTTTTTTGGTGAAATTTTAAAGTTTCATTGTTAACTCCCACATGAAGGCTGATCTGGACTGTACCAGCATTCACCTTAGTGTGTTTTTTTAAAACATTTTACACGATCCCCAGGAGCATGCTTCCAGTATAAAAGTAGGTATTTGAAGCAAATTCTGTATTTTATCATCCTTTAGTCACAAGATAAAACCAGGTTTGTACAATTTCTGACATGATCCGATTCCTTTCGACTAATGACACCCTTCTGGAATCTCGCTTTTTCACAATCACGCACACGTACACACACACACACACACACACCATCTCTCTACATTAAAGGTTGGTTGCGCTCGTGTGGCCCAAAAGATGTCAGATACATACACACATTCGCCCTTCTGAAACTTCTCAAACGGGGAGTCATGTGACAAGAGCAAACACTGCATCTACACAGTAAGCCATGATTTTTATTGTTTGAATTGGTTAAAAAAATAAAAATAAAAATGCCCTAACCATGTTTAGGAAACTTTTGCTGTTTATAACTAGCAGCCAGTATAAAAAGCTGAAATTGTAGGGATAAAATAGTAGACTACTAATAGATTAGATGCCTAAAGTTTCCCCTCATCCACCAGATTAACTCCCTGAAGTAAAATAAAATACATATCCTTCTATTAACATTAATCTTCAAAGTACACACACACACACACACACACACACACACACAAGACATGAACACACAACTCAGGGGTGACGCCCAGTCAGGAACCTCAAGAACCTTCTAGCTCAGCAGGTGCGAGGAAATCCACACACCAGGAACCACAGCATCAAACAATATGTAAGAAAGGACTTACAATTCAAATTTGTGCCTGTCATATTTTGGTATCCATGCATACTGTTTCACTGCTATCTATAAGTACACAAAAAGCACCAGAAGGAAAATATTTCTCATCCAGCTTTGCACACCTGAAGTGGCATTAGGCATATAAAAGGTACAACAAATATTGGCGTCGATTGCAGGCAATCTTTATTTGTAATTCAAATGTCACAATACAGTTAAATTTTTAAAACACTACAGGTTTTGACTAAGAGACATTGTGGTAATATTCTACTATACACTCTTTTAAAATCAATGTAAACTTTATTTTTCATAGCAATAATAATTTCATCACATGGTCTATGATGCAACAGAAGGAAATCACCAGGTTATTACAGGTCTCCTTCACCTAAAAACAGCACTGATGCCCACTCAACTGTATTATACTGTATTTGCTGATTTATAAATAATGTGCCAGACCCATAAGAAATGACACTCTACAAAAATACTCAGCTGTGTATTTCATATGTACTCATTCTACTTTATAGCAAATTCTGTAATTGTATACATCCACAAAAATTTTCCAGATGAAAAAAAATGTGTGAGAATCACTTCACTTGTCCCCCTAAATCTGGCAAAATGATCAGAAAAGGCTAAAAGTTTTTTAGACTAAGAATTATGAAAGCCTAAGGTTCCATTAAAAACCCACAGCAGGCTCTGTAAGTCTTTTATCTTGAAAAAAGTGACTGGGTCTGCAATGGCAGTGTTACTTCTGAATTTCTAAAATACTTTTTATTCCACAAGTTCTAATATTGTTCCATGCCTTATTTTAATCCAATCTTTCGATGCTCAGCACAGGGCTCGTACCTGTTGTAATGCACACCCAACAGTCACTCAGAACAAACACACACCACCTGACATGACCACTCCACTTCTCCAAATAAAGGGGCGGGGGTATGGAGAGAAAACTCAACAGACGAAGTAACGTGAATGAAAGAGATATACAGGCCCAGCACACATAATGAAAACTCCCTAAGAAACAGAAATAATACAAATAGCATAAAAAGTCATTTTGGATTAGGACACGATTAAGTAAGGAGAGGAAATAAGACAACACCAAATGTTGGGAATGTTGTGGCGAACAGGAGGGAAAGCAGAAACTGGATGGACTGTTAATGAAGATGGAAGGTACGGCTTGACCCCCCACTCCGCCCCCCGGCAAACATGGAAGGAACAGAGGAACAGCAAATACAGTCTAAGTGAACTGAGCATGATGGCAGCCTTGACACTGAGGATTACATTCACTGTGTCTCATATACACCATGAAAATCCTGGGGCTCAACATCCAGCAGCCTCAAGTGTGGCCATCTGCTAGCATGTCCTTCACAGAACAGCTATATCCTTCCTTCATTAACCTAAATATAGCAACACTGGGTTTTTCTTCTTAGAGAATTAAAATGCAATTTTAAATTTCCCAGTGTGTTATACTTCCCGTCTTTTTAAAAAGAAACTGCCCACCTCTTTGCACATGAAATTCCTTTAACGAGAGACATTGAATCTCCCATGAAAAAGCCTGAGTTAAAAACTGTACTCTAGCATCAGTAAAATTCAAGAACACACAGTAGCTCTTTACAGTTTTTCTCAGCCTGATTTTTGAGGACAGAGTACAAAAGGAGACGGCTGGGAATAAGGATGACACCTTTCTGTTTAAGAGAAGCCAGGCTTAGCAGAAAAGGTAGGGGACACACAGAAGCCACGCCTGACATAACTGCCTCTGTGATTTACCAGTCTTATTTTCATCTGCAATCATCAAGTTTATATAAAAAGCTTTGTCCCCAATGAACACAAAAATGGCATTATTGCAGTATGTGTATGTGGGCTTTTCATCATGCCTGCCACAGGAAAACCTCATTTACTGACCTAGAATAGTTTTGAAAAGTATAAAAGCTTTAAGCAGTTAGTGATGTAAGGCTTAAAGAGATATCATAAGTATTTAACTGGACATATAAAACTGGGTAATTCTTTGAACAAGAGAGTGATAAAAGCTTCTTCTCCATTTGAATGAACTGGCATCTTCTCAAACTTTCAAAGAGACTGCAGTTTATAGCTGAACCTTCTCCTTACATTTCTTTCTTTTTCAGTTTCCCTAAGGAATCTGCCATTGTTTTTCCACACAAAAATCACACCAAGCTCGTTTCCTTTTATTGAACCGATTTTAAGGCACTGTTCTCAATCCTAAATACACAAGCCCATGCTGGTTAACTGCCAGTGTCGCTTTGGAACTGCAGGTGACAGATGCAGCCAGAGAGCTCACAGATGCGGCTGCAGTCTGAGCCTTACTGCAAAGAGCACACTGACACAGCTCGCAGATGCACATCTTGGCAGAAGAGAGTTTTAAAAACCGTCATTCTCAATTAAATTTACTTTTAGGATGTTTACTGGCTAATATCATTAAGCTCTTCTCCGGACTCTTGCCCTGACTCAGTCCTACCCACAATTCATTTTATCTTCCTTAGTTTCTAGATCCTTCCTCATATTTTTGGTTAATAAAAATAATAATAAGGCGGGGGCTCCCGGCGAAGGTGATATTTGGAAGCCCTCCCGCTCCGGCAGAGGCTGCTCAAGTTTTAGGGGAAACAACAGACCCCTAGCATCTTTGCGCGATCCCTCTTCCCCTGGGTAAGGGCTCCACAGAGACAGAAGAGGAAGCTCCCTTCTCTCGTCTTTCCCAGAGGCTGCTAACACGAAAAACAACCCCCTCTTTTTTTATCCTATACCCCCGTTGGATAACGCTCCTAGGCAGTGACGCCCCACCCCCACCTCGTTATCCCTAACTAGATCCCCAAATGCCACCCTATTCTAAGAACTGGACCCTCCCTAGGCTCGCGGACCAGTTTCCCCCACCTGAGCGCCTCTCCTTCACTCATCTGCCCCCGCACACCCCAGCACGGCCGCTGCTCTGCACACGCCCGCCCAGCGCCCAGACGCCCCGCACTCGGCACTCAGGCCGCCTACTCGCCCGCGCTCCCCCACCCCCCCGCCCAGGGTCGCCTAAGGGGTTACCGTGGGAAGAGGGGGCGGCGGCAGAGGACACGGCTGTAGCGTTGATGCCGGTTGCGTCGGACGCGAAAGAGAAGCTGGAGGACAAGGATGATGATGAGGCGGGCGCGCTCCCCAGTCTCCATGGAACTCCCGCCCCGGCCCGTTGCTAGGAGCCCCCGAGGCACGGGCTCCGTCTTTCGCGCTTTGTTGTTCCGGGTACGGGCAACTGCTGCTTCCCCGCGACAATAAATAGACTAGACGCGGGGGAGCATAGAGACAGCGCGCAGAGGATAGAGCATCAGTGCACTGAGTGCCTCGCTAGCCGCTCACTTCCGGCTCTCACTGGTCCCGTAACTTTCCCTACTTCCGCTTCCTCCTTCCTAGTCACAAATTAAGGCCCCTCGAGCCCGAGAGACTGACGGGACGGGTAACGGGGGGCAGGGCGGCGAAAGCGGTACTGGGGCTATAGACTTTTGCTTGAGCCGGTTAAAAAGATTTTGAAAAAAAATCTCTGTATCCTGTGTACGTTTTTAGCCTATACCTAAATATAAGTACGTGATTTCTAGCGTAAAGTATTATATAAATGGACATAGTTTATTTTTTTCGAAACCTTGGAATTTACTGTTACCTCAATTTATAGAGACGCTCCACCGTTTAACATAATTAGCAAAGTTAGACCTTAACAACTAAATTTATTTTCTAAGGCATTTTCTGTCCTACTTTGCTTTTTCAGTTAAACGCGTTAAATTACGACGTCGCGGTAAAGCTCTCGGTAACGAATTCTAATCCTAGTCCTAAATTAGAGCCTAGGCGTTGATGGATGAAGGATGGATGCATAGATTAGGTAAATCCGTGGGATAGATGGATGGATGGATAGATAGATAAGCAGGGAGTTTAGGTCACACTTCTGTAGTCTGTCTCTTCGAGATTTCCTTACTTAATTTGGTTTTGCGGTCATGACTCTGCCTTGGGAGTCGGGAGGCACTTCACAGGCGTTTACTACGCCTGACTAGAAGCGGGAAGGAAGGTGGTGGGGAGCGGCGGCCGCAGGCTGGGACTGGGGTGCTGAGCCGGAGAAGCGGCAGTTTTGGCTTACTGGCGGAAGGGCGCTCACGTGGAAGCTGGGTGCCTGGGGGCTGAGACCTCTCCCACGGCTCTGCGCCCAAGGAGCCCAGAAACGACCCCGGGAACCCGAGGAGCGTACACGCCAGTTCGAACGGCCGCACAGCGGTCCGAGTGCGCCCCGGGGACCCCTCAGAGCTGCTTGCAGGAGCGAGACTCGAGTACCGGCCCAGGAGCACCGGGCAACGCGGAACCCAGAGCTTCCCCGCAGCCCGCGCGGGCCTCTGCTGCGGAGCTTGGCGGTCAAAAGCCTCTGTCCCTGGATGAAGTCAATGGGCAGCTCTGATTTAATAAAAGGCCAGAAGGCGGTCTCACGGGTTCCTGGCCTGGGATTGATGTGAATCATGAATGAAAAATGATAATGCCAACTCTCTTTTTGAAAAAGAGAAGACAGAGGCCGACTTCTGGGACACTTGGGTGCACAAAAACTATTTGGACATTTCATTACTTGGGGAACCTCAGAGAATGCCTCTTGATGTTTTGCTTTCCACTCTGTTCAGAAAAAATATCTGAGCAGTGAAAAGCTCTGTAGAGTTATGAAACTTATATTTTGTTTCCATTTCTGTACTAAATTATTTTTCAAATAAAATAATTACAGTAGGTAGAGTGAAGAAAATTTACAAGAGGCTGGGTCAGAAAGTAATGTCTGTGTGGTAGTGGGGAGACACCTTTTAGGAGGCAACATTTCTCCCAGAAGGGGTGTGAGAGGGAGGCCCCTGCACAGCATTCCAGCCAGAGGGAGCAGGGTACGCTGGGAATTTGCTGTGCTGTAGTATTATCGTAGACCGGACATCGTGATCCGAGCAAGGAGAACAACATGGGGTGAAGTCTGGGAGAAGCTATGGTCTTGAACATTCAGTGCTTTGTAGACCATAACAGGGAGTTGGGATTTTCTTCTAAGTGCTAGAGGACTGAAGGGCTGTGCGCTGTACAGTAACATTGTCTGATTTACCGAGGAATGGCAGGGTAAAGGCTCTGTTCTGGTGATTACTGCTGCTGCTGAAAAATCAGTTCTACATTAGCGGTGACCCAGTTTAAGGTCCTTATGAGGCACTCTCCCTCCAGGAGCCCAGCAAGTTACCTGGCATCAAGCAAGTCAATTCAAACTCATAGATCAGTCAACAGTTTGTTTCACTGAAATTGTTTTAGCATTGGATTTGGTTTTGCTGCAAGCACCATTCTCCATAGACTTATTGAATGCTCATACACTGTCATATTAGCCCATACACCCTTCCTCTGACCAAGGAATTCACAATGAATGAAGTAAGACAGATAATGGCCATGGACTCCACTGGAGGTATAATGTGCTCCATTATTCAGGTGCCAGGTAAGGTTAAAATACACAGCTGTGTTTTGAACCAAGACTCTCAATGCAGAAATTGACATATGGTCTGGGCAAATAGTGAGCTTCATCAGTTAGATCAGTGCTACATAAAATGTGTTGACACCAATGCCAGTCTGCAACGTGTACCAATCAGCAAGAAAATAGGTATAGAAGTTGGGAAGAACATTTTGAAGCTTTTAATAATTGGATATTACTGTGACAACTAAGCATGAAAGTTTCATATTTATGAAAGCATATGTCTGTGGTTGGTTGGGAACTAAAAACAAAAAGTTGATCCTTCACCACAGATAGTTATGCCCACTAAGGCTCTGGCTTTAATGAACTTGGTTTTTCAAAAAATCAGTCTGTTGGAATATGTTAGCTATTGTTTGCCTCTCTTAGTGCTACGAGAGGGACACACTTGTTCACTGTGGCCTTTATGAGAGAGATAGGCAATGGTGTGGTGATATTTACACAGCATTGTCAGGAGTCTTTCCTGCCAGTTATCCAATACTGATAGGGATCAGATGGGTATCCGATCTACCCTGTCATTTGAAACAACCAAAATATCTGCCCCACATAAAGTTAATGCACTAGGAATGTGAAGATCCAGCAGAGAAAGCAGAGGCAGGAATGCCTCATTCCTCAGGACTCCTGAAATAGCTTCTGCGGGGCGCCCCTTACCAGTATGCCAGTTGATTGGTGTACAGCTTAGGGCACAGAGTCTGATGCTGTAACCGGCCTAATGACCCCATTCTGTTCCCTCCCTTTGCTCTCAGATAAAGTCTATGGCAAAGATAGTGCACTAAGATCTAGGGAGATTGACAGAGTTGCCGGGCCAGTTTTAAGAGATAGGAATCAGAAGGGCAGAGTCCAAATTCAAAGCTGATGTCACAGTGAGATTTCTGATAACAAGCTAATTGATTTTCCCCAAATGACATTGACTGGCAGCCAAGTATAAGTTTTAAGGCATTGCCAGAAGTCCTCAGCCTGGCCAAAGGCATCTGCTGATTTGCTGTCTCAAAGACGACATCCCAGTCTGTGTATCTGTAGAAAGTTGAATGCAGTTGTCAGGGCAGTCTCAGGAGAGTCCTTCTCACTACTCCTCTATGGCAGCGTCTTTGAGGGTAAAAAAAAACAAAACCAGAGACCTCATTTTTCTGCTGGAGAAGTGATGTCCTTACCGTATTACTCTTGTCTAAAGGTATGGTGTATGCTCACAACCATTGCACACTGAAACGCCTTTTTGCCCTTCCTTATTAGTTTTTATTATCTCCCCCTCCCTCCATTACATATTTGTGCATTGGGGAAATTCTCATTACTCATCATTTAGCTATATCTGGACCTGGTCAAGAGTGACTGCACTCAAAGTTCTGAATTTGGGCTGGATGTGACATTGAGTTTTTTCTCCCTACTGGGTACGAATTGAGTACATTTTCAATTACATACGTGAGAGTTGCTTTGTGTTAAGAGAAACTGTAGATAATGGTGAACACGCACACCCTGAACAGCGGAAGAGTGATGTATAGGGAACATTTATTGTATTGTTACCCTAGAACTTTTCTTTTGGGAAGAGTATTCTTCCCTCTTTTTTAGGGGAAATACTTGGACTCTTTGCCTACCTCCAATCTCATGTGGGTCCAAATGGGAAGTGATGGATAGAGAAGTGTGTTTCTGCGCTAAGCTGGGACAATGATATAGCACTTGTACTGGAACTGAATTATTGCTGCTAGTCCCCAATTCTCTCTCTATGCCTGCTCTGTGAAGATGAATCTTGATCCTTTCAATATGCCTCTTTTGCTAGTCCCACAATGTTAAACTTTATTAGTTAAAAGTACTGGAGAGACAGTGATGCAGGACAGGGTTTTGCCTCTTGGTTTCAGGCTCCTGAAGCATGGAAGACTTCTTTAGAAGCCATCTCCTGCAGCACAGGTGGCCTCCCCAGCCCCATTCAGGGTGAAGAAAAATCTTCCAAGGGGGCGTGATTCAAATAGTATATTTCTTTGCCTACCATGTCTAGAGTGGCTGGGGCGGGGGGGGGGGGCGGTGACCAGAGCAGACAGTTACTAATGGTTTTTCTAGATGGACAGGGACTTGGAAGGGATAGGATTGGAAGGTTGGTGACAAGTAAGTGTGAGGAAGAGATACATGGATAGATGGATTTCTCTGAATGAGCACCAGCTGTGAAGGTGATTCTGACCTATTTGGATGCACACTAAAGGTATCCAGTGCAGAGGAGGATGTTAATACTCAGGTGGACAAAACGACACACTCTGTGGATGTCAGCCAGCCTCTTTCCCCAGCCACCCCAGTTCTTGTTGAGTGGTCCCATGGAGAAAGTGACCATGGTCGTAGAGATGCCCACTAGGAATTCACTCAGCAACCTGGATTTCTCCTTACCACGGCTCACTTTGCTGACACTACTGCCAAAGGCCTAACTTGTCTAGAGCAAAGAACAACACTGAATCCCTGATATGGCCCTTTCCCCAAGGTGATGCACCTCTTTCATCACTGAAGGGGCAAGGATTCATCCTCACTAAAATAATCCCATATTCTGGAAATGGATCAGCTTTTACCGCTCATGTTTCTGCCAGCACCCACTCACTATCTGTGAACTCACAGAAGGGTTTATCCACCACCGGTGCATTCCACACACACTGCACCTGATCACAGAGCTCATTTCACAGCAGCAGGAGGACAGCGGTGAGTTCGTGTCTATGGAATTAGCTGATCTTACCATATATACCATCACTTGGAAGCAGCTGGCTTAAATGAACAGTGAAATGACTTACTGAAAACTCAACTGTGGCCCAGTTTGGAGGCCACGACCTGGAAAAATAGG